CAAGCTAAGCCCCTCCCCTTCAGACCGACCCCAACTATCCATTCACCACCACCACCAGGGTCAAGCTAAGCCCCTCCCCTTCAGACCGACCCCAACTATCCATTCACCACCACCACCACCAGGGTCAAGCTAAGCCACTCCCCTTCAGACCGACCCCAACTATCCATTCACCACCACCAGTGTCTAGACCCCAGGGGGTTTCATCGGATCGGTTCTCCCCTCCCGAATGATACTTCCTGCACAACGGGGCCTTATTGCCAAAACTCCATTACATTCATTTGTGTATTGGCAATAAATATGTATTGGCAATACATATTTATTCATCAAAACCGTCTCTCCGGATTGAAATACTTCTACTCCATTACAATTTGGAAGCAAATATTCTACTTTTTAGCACCTATAATACATTTTGTATATATAAAATCACATCACATCCTGATGATATGATGCAGTGCTGTACTAGTAATCCACACAGTATTTTAAAAGTAACTAAATTGTCTCCAAACTTCAAGTGATATTATGACATTTTAATTGTTGGTAGTAAAAAGATGATAATTGATCATTTAAAATAAATGATGGTCATTCTGCAAAGTGGGTACTGTTACTTTTAGTAGGCCTAGTTGAAGTACATTTTGCTGATAATATTCCTGTACTTTTACTTAAGAAGAATTTTAAATTGATAACTTTTCCTTGTAATGTAGTAATTTAGGATCATAGTATTTCTACTTTTAAGGGGACCTATCATGCAAAATGCACTTTGTGGTGTCTTCTATACATAAAGATGTGTCCCCGGTGCGTCAGGGAACTCACGCAGCGTCAGAAAATAATACCCTCTCTCTTTTCCTCCGTACCCACATCTTTTAAAAACGGGGGTACAACGAGCGAATACAGATTCCATCCGAACAGACGTCAAATCGGCGGCGGACCCACAGAAAGTTGCTATCAGAAACAACGTCCGTGTTTTGGACGTAATCTCGTCTTTGTTTACATTAGCAAGCCTCGCTAACACTCAGAGCTAACCTGTACTGTAGAGTGCATGTGTTTAAAAAACAGGAAATAAAAAAGGAACTCACCTTGTGATAAAACCGCAAGAGAAAAAGCATTTGAGTTCCATACTGTTTCAGAAATAATCTTTGATGTGGTTTAGAACAGCATGGCGTTTTATCACAGCAGAATTTAACTTTATCTCCGGTAGAATTCTGATCAGGCATTAGCTCCTCCTCCTCTTCTTTTTTTTTTCAAGCTAAGGACCCAACATCCGCGTTTCTCTAACAGGGCTTCAAAAGAGGGGTTTGAGCAGTATGAGGCATGGCTACAATTGGTGAACTGTTTGGTATTTGAAGCAAAAAACGTCACAGACATGTTTTTTATAGGTATGGCCCCACAATATATGTTTCCAATGTAGCATAATAGATCCACTTTAAGTGAAGGCTCGTAGTAATCCTTCTACCTCTGCAATTGTTTAATAACAGAATAGCAATTTCCTCTTATATTATGAACTGTTAGTAGATGTTGCGTTGAAAAGTATTTTAGAGACACAGAAAAGGCTGAAATAATAATATAATACCATAAAAAGAGAAAATACATCTCATACAAGTACACAACTCACAATACACTTAAAACCTTAAAAATGATTATATTAGGTTATCGTCAATTGCATCGTGATCTTTTTATGTACTTGTATGATGTTTCTTTCCTCTTCCTTTTCATTTTATGGTGTATTGTGTTATTATTTAAGCCTTTTATGTGTCTCTACAAAGAATGCAGAGGGACAGTTGTGAATGCAGCAGCCGTCAGAGGCTCAGAGGATCAGAGCTGACTCCTTCAGTTTAGAAATAGCCTCTTTAGTTTGAAACTTGGCCCACTTTGTGCTGCTATACATATCCTGGATTTAAAGGGGGGGGGACACCTGTTCAAGTTGTTGCAACTAAAGCAATCCTTTGGCTTTGTATGCCGGTGTCTCCCCGCTAAATGAGATCCTGTTAGATTTTTTAACTAGATTCCTTGATCGTGATTTTATCCATTTTCATTTAGAGTCTTAGTCTTAGATAGCCAAAGAAGGAATGAGTCAAGTACGATTTGAAGGTACTTTATTTCCATGTAATGCTAATACTTTTTATACTTCTACTACAGGACATTTCAGATGCTGTTATAGTACTTTTTACTCCAGTACAGCTTTAGTTAGTACGCTATATATAAACTCAGACTATTAGCAAATACAAATAATAAATACCAGCTGTGATGAACACATTATTGCATTAATAATCCAGGCATTCAATATATATGAGTCTGAAATGGCTCATTACACATAACAAGTACTTTTACTTTAGGTACTATTTGATGCCAAGGAAGGTTTTGAATGGAGGACTTTTACACACAGTATTTTCACATTTTAGAATCCAGAGATGGCAAAAGTACACACATCCTTCACTCAAGTAGAAGTACAGATACTCTGGTGAAAGTAGAAGTACTGACTAAACGTCTTTACTCAAGTAAAAGTAAAGAGGCTTTGAAATGTGCTTCAGTAAAAAGTACCCATAGCTAGCAGCTGTTTTAAAGAGTACCTGACCTCACTTTATATTAATAGAACAATAATGTCATTGTTAGCTAATGAATGTTTCCATGCTGAACAACGGCAACATGACAACGTTTTCATTGGTCCCTCTTCTTTAGAGAAGACCAGGAAATGATGGATACACGGATCGTGTTCAAATCAATAGGCACGCAATGACTCTAAAGAATAATTGTAGTGGCCAATTGTCCAAAAGAAAATTAATGTTCAAAGGCCACTTAGTCTAGGAGGCGAGTTTGAGTATTGACTCGCGTATATTCAAGAAATCAGATACTTGCTCGTTCCATTCAGGTGCTTTATTGAGAGGTTCAATAGATCAGCTGGCGGCCCACTGCCGACGTGCAATATTTGCATGGTATTTAAACAAATAAACAAACAAGATCCCTCGGTCTTACGGATTTGTGCGGTCAAAAACTTTTTCCAACTTCCTCTCAGACTTCCTGCTGTGTCATGTTGGCAGCGTCATTTATACCTGAGCACGCCCCTACAATTGCTTTCTATAAATAATAACAAAACATAAACTAGAGCTGTCCATAAGCAAGATAACACGTTACAAAAACAGTATAATAATAATTCATAGTTATTCAGCTCATTTAAGTTAAATTAAAGAATATTCAATTGGCTCACAAAACCATAATTCATTACCATAAAATAATGTGCCTAAATGGCTCTTACAATAATGATCACGCCACCAAACACACATTCAAACTAAAGGAACCAGCCTGTTTGGAAAATGTAAGAAGTAGAAAGTACAGGTATTTGGGTTCAAAATGTAAGAAGTAGAAAGTACAGGTATTTGTGTTCAAAATGTAAGAAGTAGAAAGTACAGGTATTTGGGTTCAAAATGTAAGAAGTAGAAAGTACAGGTATTTGGGTTCAAAATGTAAGAAGTCAAAGTAAAAAGTCGTCAGAAAAATAAGTAGTGGAGTAAAGTACTGATACCAGAAACATACTTAAGTACAGTAACAAAGTATTTGTACTCCTCTACTTCCCACCTCTGTTAGCATCACTACTTTGACATACTCCTGAGTACTTCTTCCCCTTTATTTGATAGCCTCTCAAGTGCAAATTCTCTAATCAGAGGAGTGTCTACCTATACAAGGGTTTTACGTAGTTCACTGTTTAAGGGTCGTGCATAAGGCTCATGTCTATTAGTGGAAGTAGGCCAGTGTTACATCAGACGCGCCTTCAGGGAGCGAAGTGCGTCACGCCGGAGCTCCTCTCGTTGCAGATTAGCCTCAAATGAAGATAGAGTGAGATGTTATACAAAGCTCCGCACAATACAAACAGGTGGTGCCTCTGACGTTTTACCATAGAGTACATTTTATTATATTAGTGTCTGAATATAGCAGATATATTTTCTGATCTGATTTTATGTAAAGCGTCTTTGAGCATTAGAGAAAAGCGCTATACAAATCCCCTGTATTGTTGTTATTATTATTATATAGAAAAACGTATGTATACATTTATTTTGGAATATTCATATCATGTTTTTTAAATTATTATTTTATCCTTTTTGACATTTTACTTTAATTGCTTATGTTTGCATAAATATCTGTATTTTATCTTATTTTTTGCACATTCTTACATGAAATTCTTATATTTATTTAATTATGTTTACTCCATTTTATTTGTTCTTTTATTAGAAATGTTACTTATATAATTATTTGCATTTTTTTTATCTGATAATGTGAGAATTATTTTGTTGAGAAACAACTTCACAGATAAAAGAAGCTTGTCTTTAGATAATATGTTAGTGTACAGTTTTATTATTATGCTGCTGTGTTTATTGTATTTTTGTAACTCTGGCACAACCGTTTCCTTCGGGATAAATAAACCTTATCTTATGGCATGAAACTTTCCATAAATAAATAAAACCAAGTACGGTGACAATGCTCTAATTTGTTCATTTCAGTTATGATATTGATGAAGTCAGTCATGTATCCAGGGTTCATACACTTTTTCACCAATGATTTTCCATGACTTCTCCAGGACCTTTACCTAATCTTCCATGACCAAAAACATTACTCTCTCAGCGGTACCACTGAAAATGGTTTATTTTGAACATGGAATAGGAAAATAAGGTCTGCATCTGAAACATGTCGTGCCTATCTAAAACAAATCAAATAGTAGACTTACTAGCTTCTACACGCTAAAGCAACTAAAATCTCTCACCAGCAAAACACCTCGTCAGTTAAATGCCATTTTAAGTTTCATTACTATACGATACAGTATTTATTATCATTATAGTATTACTATTTCGGCGATTAGATACAAATATAAATTATATTTGATGCAACTTTAGTTACATTTCCATAACTTTTCCAGGGCCTGGAATTATCATTTTGAATTTCCATGACTTCTCCAGGTTTGTAATGACCGTAAGAACCCTGTGTAACCCAACCCATGAAAGAACGGAGAACAACAGTCCATTTTCAATGATATGTTGAAAGGGTCAACATTCTGTTTCTTTTATTTTTCAATCTTGAAACGCTCCCATCTTCCACAATGAACGCTAGTGTCTTTACATACAAATCCACGTCAAAAGGAAGCGATGGTAACGACCAACCAGACCAACCACCACCCAACTCTAAACACCACACTATCTTTGCCTGCTTCTTTTTTTTTGTTCCTCTTTTCTTTTTTTCATAAAACCATCAGCAAAACCACAAACATTACTGATTAATACACACTGAAAAAAAAGGGGAGTGGGGACGACGAGGAATGAGGCAAATACATGTCATCACAGTCAATAGAAAAGACACAGAGTAGAGAAAACAGAACAACACATTGACGAAAACAAAACAGGACATCAAACCGATGAAATAAACATTACAGTGTTGTTCAAGGGTGGGGGAACTTTACTTTTATACACAAGCACCAAAAGCCAAACGGGGTACATAGACTTTCACTAAACTAGGATCCAGTGCAGAAATGTTTCACTGGCCCGTAGAGAAAGGGATGAACAACCCTGAAATGAACAATGGAGGATCATGGGAGACATGGGAAGTCATTTTCTGAATTAATTTAAGCTCAAACTTGACGTTGGCACCAATTGGAGGATTTTAGTTTTGCATTAGCTTTTATTTAAGGGCTGCAAGAGTTAAAAAAAATAATTTGATTGCAATTGCTATATGATTTATATGTTTTAAGTTTCTAGAAAAATCTCTGGGTGTTTCTCAATGTCGAGGAAGGCTGCTCCAGAGCCACTATTCCAAGCATACTACGTCATCGAGTGCCGCCGAAGGACTGTTCCAATGTACAGCATACTTGGAATTCTACCGAGCCCGGCGTACTTCGTAGCGAAAAATTTCGAGGCTGCACATGTGTAGACTCCGCGGTCTTAAAATCCCCACAATGCTTTGCGCACGGACCAATTTGCCCCAATCTGTGGCGGAAAATGTAAGGCGGGGCCTCTCATATGACGCACACCTGCACACTTGCTCGCCTGTTCCACTCTTCGTTTTCCGAATGCCAGGAAGTATTATTGCCTCGCTTCTGAAGCAAGTGACTCGGAAGACATGTGCTACCAAGCAAGCGTACTCGACATTGAGAAACACCCTCTGTAGCTCAACAATACTAACGCTAAAATTGTATTTTAACATATTGAGCCTTACATACATGTTTTATGGAAAAGATCATTTTTTAACAACAATTCTCATTGTCGTTGAAAAACATCCAAAAGATCGTGGTGTGATCAATTTAAGAGGATATGTCCTAAACAAATACTAATCAGCTGAACAATACTTCATTTAAAATGGTATTTTTTCATATTTTTAGACTCAAACTAATATTTAGCCTATTACAATTGCAATTTCATTAGAAAGTAAATTAATTGTGCAGCCCTTTTTTATTTCATAACAATGTAACCACCTGGGAGCCAATAAGGACCTCAAGGGTCATGATTGGGCACACTACAAAACCTAATTTCATGTCAATTGATGTAAAGTAACTCTTCTACACAAGAGTTCAGTGCGTTGTAGTGTTAACATGACTTTACTCTTCTTCATCCCATACCTCCATTACTGTTCAAAGGCTTCATCCTGTGGGCTTTTCTACAGTGATGGGCGTGTGGAGAGCAGGGAAATAAATACATTGGGCCAGTGAATGGTAACAACAACAACAACAACAACAACAACAACAACAACAAGATATGGTTCATAAAGCTAAAATAAAATAAAGGCTCATAGCCTGCAGCTGGTGAAGTCCACCAAATATTTAAAGGCTGGTTAAAGGTTAAGAAATCCAAACATTTTAACGAGGCACCTCGCCTCAGGAAACAACTTGTTCTCCATTCAGTGCTGTTGGCACTCCAAACTGGACGGCCATTTCTGTGTAAACAGGGCATTAACTAAATCAGAGGTCTCAAACTCAAGGCCCGGGGGCCAAATCCGGCCCGCGACTTGATTTCATGTGGCCCCGCAAGAGCTTTAAAGAATATAATACGTTTATTATACGGTTACATGCCACTTTACAGAAGCAGGTTGCCCATAAACTACATGTCCCACAATGCATCTCGTTTTGTGACATGCGCACTGAAGAGACTTGCAATTATTTGCGGTGGACTTCTGCTTCCAGACGTAGTTCATTACTAAGTTATTATCCTATCCGATAATAATCCAATTCAGAGGCAATAATGTAATATAATATATTATTTTATATATATTATTATTATTATTTGAGTGCAAGCTTTATGCGAATGTGGCCCACAATGAAATTGAGTTTGACACCCCTGAACTAAATCAAAAGAGAGTGTTTTAATCGAATGGGTCCTGTAGCAGCAGCAGACAACACGGCTGTACAGTCATTGTGATTCATTTTAGGATGGTTACTTTCAAAACCCTCACTAACCATCTCAGGTTTGTCCCATTTTTGTTGAATTTGTATTCAAATTTCTTTGCAAAATATATATTTATAATAGATACATATATTCATATGTCACAGTAATATACAAAACAAGTGCTTAAAAAATAAAGGTGGTGGAGATGGTCGGGTAGAGTATGGGTTGGTAGAGGTAGGGTCGGGAAGAGGTATGGAACTTGATATTTGTAGTGTTGGTGGATCTTTGGTCAAGGGAATGTCCCCCAGTGTACGTTTGCATTAGATTTAAATTAAGGCAGATAGCCATACATGTGTATGTTTGTCTACAGTCAGATATGTACCAAATTTATAGTACTAATAAAGCTCAAAACTTTTCTTTTTCCAACATTCTTGTTTGTACGAGATCTTAATGTTGACGAAAAGCAGGTAGTTCCATTCCTCCTCTCTTCACATAAAAAAAAGTGCTTCTGTAAATATGGAGAGGATTTAAGAAATGACAAATCTGTACAATATATACAAATACGATACAGCCCTACAAGATGTCCAGCCTTTTAGGAAGGGAGAGGGGAGTAGAAAAGCCCAGCTTCCTGTCCCAAGGGCTTCAGGGAGGGGGTTTGATTTGAGGGCAAAGGCATGATGGCAGTATCGTTCTTAGAAGCAGAATTATGTCTTTTCGAGAAGCGGTTATCGCCTAATCTCGCCTCTTGTTTCGTCGTCCACCTGTCTCCTTTTTTTTGCCCGCCTCCGCCTGTTTTAAGCCTCCAACCGGGCATTCTCGCTTAGTGTTCTGCTGAGGCAAGAGGGACAAATATGGATGTTGGGGCAGGGGAGGCGGCGTCGCAGAAGAAGGCGTCGTCGGGGATTCCTGGCCCGAACCCCCACTGCTCCCGGTACTCATGGCCCGGTGTTTGAGTCTCAGTTTGTGGGGCAAAGCGGTTCCTTTCACCTCGCCCACAGGTTCTCGACCCTGGATCTGAGGGCTTCCCTGGGAGGAGGGAGGAGGCGAGACAGGATGGTGCAGACTGGTAAGCTGTTGGTAGTTGCCCATATCTGATAAAGATGAGATGGGAGTCTCCTCATCGTCCGTATAGGCGTCTTTGTCAGGATCTATGTCACTGGACGACGTGTCCTTGCTCGGTTGGACTCTGTCGTAAGACTCCGTTCTTTCATAGGTGAGCATTGGTGGCTCCTCGTCTTGGGCACTGAGGTATGAATGCTGTTGCTGCTGGAGTTGGTGGTACAGGTGGGACTGGTCTGCTGATGAATCTCTCTCCTGATGGTGCTGCTGGGGGAGTTGGTAGTCTCTGTACGCATGTCTCTCTCCAGCCTCGTCAGCAAGGTCATACCGAGGGGAGTCTAACGTCTTCATCTCCAGCTGCTTCGTCACCTCCGCCAGTGTCTCCGTGGAGGAGTTCTCTGGAATACACTGAGGCAATCGTCCAACACTCGTCTGGTTTTGTTTGTGTGCCACCTGCATATCGATGTCCTGGTGCCTTTCCACGGGATAGGAGGCGCTGCTGGAGCCGTACAGAATGACGCTCCTCTGGGCGGCTGGTGGGTGAGGGTTGGCTGGCTGACAGTGTTGATAACAGGCTCCTGATGGGGTTGTTGTTGTTGTTGTTGTTGTTGTTGTTGTTGTTGTTGTTGTTGTTGTTGTTGGTGGTGGTGGTGCTGTTGTTGTTGGCTCTGATATACCGCCTCCAGCTCCTGAGAATGTATCTGGTGGGGTGTCGGCACAGCAGCCAGACCTTGGTGGATGTCGAACATGATCTGGGTGGTGGTGCCATTGGTAATGTCCATCTCTATCCTGTCCACCTCTTGTTTGATCTCAAAGGGAATTGGCTCGGGGCTGTCCCTGGAGGATCCGTCGGACATATCGGAGAGGGAGCCACGTGGAGAGTATTTCACCAGCTGCCTGTGGCCGGACTGCTCTGTCTCTGAGGAGTCAGAGTTCATCATCACCTGAGAGCCGCTAGAGTAACCACTGGAGTAGTACTGGGCAGAAGAGGAGGAGGAGGACGTTAAAATCTCTGCATTCGCCGCGCTGTTGCTCGCTCCAAGCTGCTGACTCTTTTCAATGTAGGAGGCCGTGCTTATGAGGCCGAAACGCAGCTTCAGCTGGAGCAGCTCCGTCTTCAGAATCATGTTCTCATCATTCAGTGCAAGGACACGGTTCTCCAAGACCATATCATTGATGCGTCGCTTCTCCCGGGAGCGCTTGGCCGCCTCGTTGTTTTTGCGGCGTTTCTCCCAATAGCAGGCGTCTTTCTTCTCATCTGAAATGAATTCTCGCTTTCGCCGGCAGTTCATGTTATTTTTGGACTTGGCGCTGCGACCCATGCGAGATGGACTCCCTTCTGCAGACGGAAGAGACTCTTCATAACTGCTGAAGGTCTCGATGCAGTTATGGTTGTCCTCTGACGTCAGATTTTCCATCTTTGTATGGTGGCAGCCAGTTTGAAATGTTACTTAGGAAAAGGAGAAGGTTAGAGGTCAAGGGGTTGAGGGGTTGGCGACTAAAACCACTCTTCTCGTAAAGTTCTCAGTCTGTTTATTGTAAGTTCAGTGTAGGAGGGGGCTCAAGTGTCCAAATTAGCCAAAATGATAAAGAACATCTGGAGCTGTGCATTAGTAACCGTCATTTATCCACTTCAGTGTCCAGACTCCTCCAAGTATCTAAGTGTGTCAGGCCAGTCTTGAAAAGCACAAATGTCTTGTTTTCGTCTCGCTTTTCCGCTATCGGTTGTAAAAACTGCGCTGGCGGAGAAGTGTCCGAGATCTCCAGGAAAACAGCAGGATATAGATCGGCCCGTCTACCTCCGCTTGTCAGTCTCTCGGGGAGCTTCGCACTTGCTCCGTCTGTCTGTCTCTTCGGTTGACTGCAGAATGAACGGCTGCAGAGAAAAAAACAGAACACCTGTTAATTCATGTGGACTGCTGGTGAGCCATTATGCATTCTCATAGCAGAATGATTTACTTTAAAGGTCCCCTATTATACTGTTTTTCATCTATATGTTATAGCTCTCAGATATATACAGAGCCTGTCTCTGAAGTGTTTGGCTCCAAACACCAAACAGATCATTGCAGCATTACCCATAATCCCCTCTGGTTCAGCCCTGTTTCAAAAGTGCTGATTCTCTGTCTGTTACTTTAGATGAAAATAAGGAGCCCCTCCCCACGCCCCTCTGAGAGAGATTTGGTTACAAAGAACTCAATGGTGCTCTAGGAGGAGATTCAGGTGATAATGGGGGGGGGGGGGGGGTTACATTGGTTGCTGATTGGCTAATAGTTACACAACCCAAAACATCGTTATGACATCACAAAGTGGCCAACATCTGATCAGCTCATTTTCAGACAGGTTTTTATAGAAATGGATCAGGACAAAAAGAGAGAGAATCTTTGTTCCTGAAACTTTCAGAGTCTCTTTCCACAGAGGGGACACATGTTGATGTAGAAGAGACATGGAGAAGAGGGGACACATGTTGATGTAGAAGAAACATGAAGAAGAGGGGACACATGTTGATGAAGAAGAGACATGGAGAAGAGGGGACACATGTTGATGTAGAAGAGACATGAGGAAGAGGGGACACATGGTGATGTAGAAGAGACATGAAGAAGAGGGGACACATGTTGATGAAGAAGAGACATGAAGAAGAGGGGACACATGTTGATGTAGAAGAGACATGGAGAAGAGGGGACACATGTTGATGTAGAAGAGACATGAAGAAGAGGAGACACATGTTGATGTAGAAGAGACATGGAGAAGAGGGGACACATGTTGATGTAGAAGAGACATGAAGAAGAGGGGACACATGTTGATGTAGAGGAGACATGAAGAAGAGGGGACACATGTTGATGTAGAGGAGACATGAAGAAGAGGGGACACATGTTGATGTAGATGAGACATGAAGAAGAGGATTTTGCATAATAGGTCCCATTTAAGGCACTTCTCCTAGCGTTGTTATTCATCAGCAAAGATCAAAGACACATTTCTACATCCGTCCAGCTTACTGTTGCTTTTCTTTTTGCATGTCTGGCTTTAACTGAGAGAGTCTCCCCTGGAAACTGATGAATGGTCTCAAGACCTCAACGTCTGACCTTTTAGCCTGACTATTGATCTGCTCTGTCTGCAGCCTCTGACCTCTGACCTCTGACCCTCTCCTGGCATGTTAATGTTGACTTTTGTGATGTAATGAGGGCATTGAGTTCATTGCACGGCAGATCAACGCATTTCATCTTGGCACCAATTTACTTGCACATTGTGCACTCTTTTATTTTTATGTTATTCTATTTCTTCTTCAACTATTTCCTTTTGTTTAAATGTCTTACTGTTGGTGGAAAGATTGTCATTTCCAAACTACACTGGAGATATATGCATACAATAAACCCGTTGAATCGTTAGTTATTAAGGCTTCAGTTATAGGTTTAAAACATACTACAAATATCTGAGGTTGCATTTTTCCTGACTGCACAAATCCGCAAATAAGCACTTGCACAGAAATGGCACTGAGGCAAGTGCACCAAAGAAATGAATAATGTAACATGACAGAAAACGCACCAGTCTGACACCGAGAGCACAAACACGACTTGTGTACTGATCATTTGTCTGTCTGGAGAGTATTTTGGGCCAGACAGAGCGAAAGGGCGAGTCAGAAGCACCACCAGAACATTTCACAGAAGAAAAACCACTGCCCACTGCTTTTCTACCGACAAACAATGCTGAAATACCGCTACCCCCCCCCCCCCCCCATGCACTCATCCGCGGAGGAATGTGGCGGCATTCTTCGCCAAAACAACTCAATGCCAAATCAATGATGCAGAGTGAGCAGATAAGGCGGACAAAGGCAGCAGCCAGTGCAGGTCATTGACAAAGAGGCGGGGGAGATTTGGAGGCGGGGCATCGATAAATGTAGGTCATGGGCTCCTGTGAAGAAAGGAGGCAGGGGGGGGGTAAGAATAACTCTGCCTTTTAACATTTGGGTTAAACACAAGGGGAGGTCTTTTATCTATGGAGAGGGTTCCTCGAACACAGCGTGGAGGAACCCTCTCCATACATAGATAGATGGATGGATAGATGGATGGATAGATAGATAGATAGATAGATAGATAGATGGATAGATGGATAGATAGATAGATAGATAGATAGATAGATGGATAGATAGATGGATAGATAGATAGATAGATGGATGGATAGATAGATGGATAGATAGATAGAAAGATAGATGGATAGATGGATAGATGGATAGATGGATGGATGGATAGATGGATAGATGGATGGATGGATAGATAGATGGATAAATGGATAGATGGATGGATAGATGGATATAGATAGATAGATAGATAGATAGATGGATAGATGGATAGATGGATAGATGGATAGATGGATAGATGGATAGATGGATGGATGGATGGATGGATAGATAGATAGATGGATAGATGGATAGATGGATAGATGGATGGATGGATGGATGGATGGATAGATAGATGGATAGATGGATAGATGGATAGATGGATAGATGGACAGATGGATAGATGGATAGATGGATAGATGGATAGATGGATGGATGGATAGATGGATGGATGGATAGATGGATAGAAAGATAGATGGATAGATAGATAGATGGATAGATGGATGGATGGATGGATGGATAGATGGATGGATGGATAGATGGATGGATGGATGGATAGATAGATAGATGGATAGATGGATAGATGGATAGAAAGATAGATGGATAGATGGATAGATGGATGGATGGATGGATAGATGGATGGATGGATAGATGGATGGATGGATGGATGGATATCGATTTCTTAGCTGAACAGGTGTGCCCCCAGTGTCAAGACATGACCAGTATGCTGTTATTTTTAGGGTATAGTTAAAAAAAGGCCGACTGTAACCCTGACCTTAGAAGGAATAATATTAATAAAGGCATTTTTCTGTTTTGAGCACATCAAGGAAAACATGCGATATTGCAATTTCTAAACTCTCATCCTTGTGTGTTGAGTTTAGGGTTGGGAACCGAAACTCGGTTCCAGATGAGAACCGATAAGAAAATGCCGGGTACCGGGTACCCATACAAAATACACAATTTCGGTTCTGCTTAACGGTTCCTAAACGCGGTAGACCCTGTATTCCAGCGGGTCCGTCTGCACCGCGGTGCTGCGTGACCCGGTGGAATACAGGGCGGACCTGGAGAATCACAGAACGGCCGGTCGTCAGCGGGCCGTTGACGGCCGGCTCGGTACGCTGACGGCCGGCACCGCCCTTCATTTTTTTAAACGGCATCATATAAATTGCGCTGACAGGCGACAGAGGTCCACAGTTGCCCCGCAGCGATGCTCCCCCGCCCTCCCGTAGACATTTCACGAGCTCAGTCACTTCATAACACCAAAGATAGGTCGCGGTAAACACTCTGAAGTGAGGCTCCACTACACCAAAAAAGAAAAAGAAAAGGCAAAGTGTAATGCCTGTTAATAGCTTGCCACAGGCATAGCTCAGTTAAAATAAAGCACAGCTATTGTGCAATACATTTGTATTGCATGTATATTTTTTAGTAACAATTTCAGTTAAAGCTTTTAAGAATAAATATATTTTTGTTATCTAAACGTTTGACCTCTTTATTTTACAATTTTGGAATCGAAACGGGGAATCGATAAGAACCGGAATCGATAAGCAGAACCGGAATCGAAATCGGAATCGATACATTTCAAACGATACCCATCCCTAGTTGAGTTAAATGTCCAATACAAGATTGTGTATATATATATATATATATATATATATAGGCATATATATATAGGCATATATATATATATATAGGCATATACATATTTGCACACATATTTTTATATCTATTTGTTTTTATATTCGGGATTGTGGGAAACGGTATTTCGATCTCTCTGTCTGGACACATAAACTGTTGACTTTTTGATTTACAATAAAATAAAATAAAAGGATTGGTTGAATACATTTTTCCTTGAATTTTTTAAATATTTAACAAGCTATTTGTAGTCTTTTATCTGTTGACTGAAGGCAGGAGAAAGGTTGAGTAAACTATTTGTTGCATAATACAGACAGAGTAGATCCAGCTGCAGTCAAAGCGTGTTACTCAACATATGCCCTCCTGTGTTAAACACTTAAACACTATTACACCATCTGAATCTGTAATCTCATCATCTCGCGCGGCGTTTACACTCTGCTCTTCCCAGGATCTGACACCATTACGTCACTACAGGCGTATCCTCGCATTGAACCCAGATTCTGGGGGAAAGGAGACTTAAATTCAGACGTTGGCAGATCCTTTTTGTCATTACTTTCAAGCCAAATCTGTTGGAAAGGGTCTGTATATTTTCCTCTGCTTGGCCGGATGTTTATCTACATGAGCCTTTGGCATGTGGCTTTTGGGCACAAAAGAAAGCACTTTTTTACTCAGTGTGTCCTACTGACCTAAAAACGGAGGACTGACGCTATCGCTGGACGGATAACCGGAATATAGGTCAGTCGAGTCGAGCTGTGGAGAGGTGAAACGTTGATGGAAAAGATCAGAAAGCAGACAAAGCGCTGTCTAAATATAGAAGGAGAGCAAGTGGAGACAAAGGAAAGGAATCACTGAGTTCAAACAAAGAGGGATGGAGATGGAGATGGGATTAGCTCGGATTGGGGGGAAACCAGAGGCACACTGTTGGTATTACATCAATAGGGGTAGGGTAGAATATAGAAGGAATGTGTCACCCATAGCAACAAAAAGGGGCAGCCAATCATATCTGACTTTCTCCCAACCAGTGGCTCGACATGGCCAAAAGCAGGATTTGAGACTTTTGTGACTAAAGGAGAAGGATTGACGTCACAGAGTGCGCACACTGCATTCGTGTCCCGCGGCTAACGGGCACATGA